TATCCTATGCTTCGACGCGCAGTTCTCGAGAAAGGGAAGCGCTGGCTCTCGTTTTGCAGCTTCTCAGGTAGTATGTTGCTATACCTCTTACACACCTATACAAGTTCAAAGCACGAATGAGACTTCAAGGCTGTGGCTTGCTGTGCGTGTGTAGAGGTTCTCAAGCGGTTGACGGAAAGGGAACTTGAAGTACTATACCTGGTAGCTGCACTATAGCTACCCTAGGTCTCTCTACCTTGCAAGGTGCCAACTACACCTTTCCATTCAGATGATGCAAATGATGCATTTGGCATTTCTTGCATCACCACCCCTCAAAAATCACCTCCAACACAACCTCAAAAAATCTTCCCTCGGAGCACCCTCCTCCCCCAGCATGTGCTGAGTTGACGTGTCCCTTTCTCGGGCCACCCCCCCCAGACCCCCTAACTACTCACTTCGTTCGCCAGACACAACTCCGCTAGCGCCTTCTACGAAGGCTGGCTTACGTAATCAGTTTGAGTGTCTGGATGTGTCTGAACATTCCCAATTGAGCGTCAACCTCGGTGGCTTCACAGCTTCAAAAGAACCACCTGCCGACCCTAAAACAGAGTGTTCTGATATGTGTTGATCACTGTTCTGATCTTATACATCACATCTGCAATCTCAGCAATCTGATCCCTTTTTTCATCAGGCTCCGCTTCCACCAGGGACCGGAGCCATCCTCCCCCTCCGCTTCCACCCGGTCCAGCGCCGCCATCGCTCCCGCGGGGCTCGGTCCGCGGCCTCTGTTTCGGCCCGAGCCCAAGAAGCTGCGGGTGGCCAGCTGTGAAGGGATGAAGTAGCAATGGCCTCCACCCTGGCACGTAGCAATGAACCTAGTGACCTAGTGGCAAGGAACCTATTAGCGATGGCCTCCACCTTCAAAGCGATGGCCTCCAACCTAGTAGCTTGTTACTAGTAGCTGTGAAGGGATGAAGTATGACATTCTCTCCCAACAAACGGTAAGCATTTCCCAAAACAGCCTCTCTTGGCTCAGCTGAGGCTGTGAAGGGATGAAAGTACAAGGGATCTCTTGGCAGAGCGAAAACCCCGATTTCCAGCGATTTCCCACTTCTAAAGGGAAGATGTCTGAGACCGGAAGAGGGCAGTGATTTCAAGCCGTTCTCTGTCCAGTCAGTAGTTCAGTACCGCCCCCGCACCCGCATTTCTACACAGACCAAACAAACCTCATAGACCGTTGGCAACCCAATGTAATCCATTTTATTGCAATCCAAATGCCATTGGGTGCAATCCAAAGAAGTAACTCAGATTGACCCCATTCAGTTGGGATTGCATTTGGATTGTAATCCATTCAGTTTAACCCCAGAAGTAACACAGATTGCGTTGCATGCCGCCCTCACTTCTGCCTTGTCTTACGGGGAAAAACACCGATGTGGATGCTCCTTTGCTCGAAGACTGCCTGTCGATGCCAGTTACTCATTTCAAAGTGCCATTCACCGCTGTTCTTACCCCGATTTTCAATCCACCAGACTCAAAAAGAGATCTACAATCCACAAGAGATTACAAGACAGTTCTATTAGATTCTATTACTCGACTGGCTGAGTGTCCCATGTCGAGCCAGCGCCATTGATACGTTCTTGGTTTTTCTTCCACTTTGTCCAAAGGCCAACGGAACGTCTTAGACGTCCAGCGCCGAAAAGAACGCCTTAAACCTAACATCAGGGTGTGGAAGCTCTTCGTCATGAATTCAATCATTGATCTCATTGATCTAGAAACAGTTAACCCATGTTAACCCATCACTTTCCAATGCATTCTTCCCTCCCTTCCATGGACTTCTCTCCTTCTCTCTACTACTTGGGAGTCAACTCGGGTTCCATGAGACCATCACGTCTCCTCGGCTTCCGACCAAGAGTTGGCCAGAACCTCCGTCCTTCTCAGCTAGTCCCTTTCTCCCTACCAACATCAGAACCTGGCTTCATGAAAAACTGTCTGTGCTGGAAGCTAAATTCGCATCATGACAAGGTCTTCCCACTCAGCCAGCCAGTCTTGGGTGTCCCAAACTGACAGCCATTCGATCGCTGCACCAAAAACGCCGGCAGGGAAGCCGAAGCGATGACGGTGATGTGACCAGCCAGTGAGTTGGAAGTGACCATCATGGGCTCACAACATCTCTCTCGCTTACAACATCCGGATAAACAGTTCGACGTCTTCACCAGCTCCGGTGATGTAAGTAAATGGTCCAGTCGTCGCATGTTCTGGATTGATGTGTCCTTACTTCGACTGCCACCGGTAGATGCGGCAAACCCCTCTCGCTTCGCCCTGTCACGACCCGGGACAGGAGACCACGAGAGAGGAGCGACGTCGACCACCCTGCCAGCGTGCTGCAGCCGAGAATACTGGAGGCGAACCGTCGTTCGCCCGCGGTGTTTTCAAACGAGAGGGGGTGGCGCAGCGTGAAGACATGAATTGGTGTTCTTAAGTTAAGAAAAGTGCGGAAAGTGGTGATACTAGTGGTGATAACTTGGCAACTGGATTCAAAGGTGCAAACAAATTGGATCCAAAAAAAGATCGCGCCCTGCCTGCGCCCGTTATCGTTCACACTGGGCCATGTTCAAAGGCCATCTTGCTGAATTTCCACACAAGGCTCGCCGCCAAACCTATATGTTAGACATGATCTATACAAGCGACAGTCTGGAAGAATTCACCCGGCATCACCAAACCTTGGAAATGGGGGATAACCGATGATTACTGGCTCACTTCTGTGAGGTGGTGCAAAAAAAAGATGCAAAAGCACACCGCCAAAAAACCGTTTTACCACGAGCCGTCTTCATTCTCTGGATCTCTGGAAAAAGAGATTGCGGGCCCTCCTCATACAAAGAGTGAAGAAATGACCACCTTCGACACAGCCCAGTTTGTGAGGAACCTCATGGTCAAACTCAAGTTTCTTGGCCAATCGAACTTGTCAGTCTGAGTCAGAGTTGTGGGCTTTGTACTTAATACTTGCATGATAATAACGGTGTTGGTGGCGGAACATTTAGGATATTTATATAGGCCCGGGTGTTTGATGGTTTTTGTGAATGGTGCGTCCTTCTAACACTGTGCCCAAACCTTAGGGAAGTTTCAAGCAATGGTCAGGGAACACACAATTGGAAGCTGCTAGGAACAAGTGCATCGCTACTAGTAACAAGTGCCTTACTAGTAGTAACAAAGAAGCTATTAGGGTCTGCTATATTTTAACGGTTCAGGTCAGCAACGAGCTACTGGCCCGAACTACTCAGTCTGCACGAGCTCCTGCGCCAAGTGAGTGCTTGTCAGACCTGGAAGGTGCTAGGCTGCTAGAGTAGGTGTTGCATGATCGAAATTGTGGAGATCACCGAAAACAAATGGCAATGAACATTGTGTTGTGGATGGTAGTCGCAGATGGTGAATATTTTGTGCATCTTCTGGGGAAGAAACATCACCATCTGCGATGCGGAACGATCTTTGTTCGCGTTTCTTCCCCAGAGATCCGTCAGAGGACTGAACTGAAGCAATGAGCTCGGCTTCACGATCCAGTGATGTCCGAAAAAGCCAGAAACCAATGGAATCGAACGGAAGGTCAACGAGCACACATCCAGCACGTCTAAATGAATGCAAGCATGACCCACTTCATTTTCTATAGATCAACCCACTTCTTCTTACTCTTCCAGATCTGGTCCCAGGCACCCAAAAAATACGGCGCTATACGCGTGTTTCTGCGTGTTTCTGCACTCCTCAAGACCTACCCGGGCATCTCATCATCGGGATAGTCTTCGGAGAAGATCGGCTGTGGCATGCGCGGCTCTGGGCAGTCGAAGCTGACCATCACCTCAGCTTCTTCTAACCCCAGAGCAGCCCTGTTTCAGACGGAACCCCAGGCCCAGGATCGGTGGACCGTTTTCTGGGGGGGGTTGGCCCACACACCAATAGGGTCTCCATTTGGAGACCTCCGCTCGGATAGGATAGATTGGATTCTTTCATTCTGCGGGGGGGGGGGTTAGGTGAGACCCGTCCATGATCCAAACGAAAGAATGAGGCCATGATCTTCAAGCGACCTTTTGAGGGCTGCAGGCAGAAGACTGGCTGGAGGGCATGAGTTCTCATGTCATCCCCCTGCGTGTGATGGCTGGTTCAAACTCCCACCACAAAACCATCAGGAACCTCATCCTGAGTCGCAAAAGAGCACCCCCCCAATTTGTTGGATTGTATTTCGAGATCTACCTAGCACTTCTAGTCGGCGTGTTCAATGGAGACCTATATAGTTTCAATATAGTAATATAGTATATGGTATTCCAGCCAGGGCACCCCCGACAGGAAGCAGCTTGTATGACCAGCCAAAATGGACCGACTGAAACCAAAGTCTTCTCCGATCCAAGTTGATCCAAGACTCTCACAGTCCCGACGTCGGACACCGGTTTGGGTGACAGGGGAGACGGTTTGTTTTTGGGGGGGAGCCAAATGAAGAGATTGATTCCATCAGACTGATGCAGTCCCACTCTCATGTGCACCATCATATCTGCTGAATGTGATTGTCAACCTCTCATGGGGCTACTCCGCACTATTGGACCTGGCCATGGCCACGACTCTTACAGGATGTGGCTATGACTCAAACACCGGATGCCCTCGAGCTACCGGATGCATCTCTAAAGCCCAAAAAGGAAAAGAACACCGCTGAAGACGGTAGACTAAGAACATGGATCGACCTGCCATTCTCAGGGTCCATGTGAGTCCTCGGGCGTCTAATACAAGTAGAACTCACTTGCAACATCTTGCAAAACAGTGGTGAAACGATGTGAAACTCTATAATATATAAAAGATGTCACTGTGACGGATTCCGGGAAGATCCCGTGATTCTCATGAAAAATCCACAGTGCTGAGGCGGTCACTGGCACAGGGCCATGGAGTGGCACCTCGGCAGAAGTTCGGATGGAGATACCTCCCCGTCCACCCAAAACCACGAAAAACACCCCAAATGTCCATCATCCAGTCGCTCCGCGTAACGCATCGCCTTTGGGCGTCTTCCCCCGCCTTGGCCTCGCGTGCCGAGGCGAGCACGCCGCCGCGCCCGTGGGGCACCGCCGGCGCCGGTTCGCCGGGCACCGCCGCGTCGTCGGCATCGTCCACATCGGCCGGCAGCGGCGCGGAGGACGCCACGCTGGGCATCTGGGAGGACGCCGCGAGGAATGCGGAGCAGATGGATTTCGAAGAGACGACGCCAAGGGAAAAAAGGGACTTAAAGGATTAAAGTCATTTTTTGAAGCACGCATGACCACATGACATTCAACAACAACAAGAACAACAACAACAACAACAACTCCACTCCGATTACCTCTCTACTTGGGTTATATTGGTTGTGTTCACACACGTTATCCCATTCATTTTGGGAGAGCTAACTACGAAGTCATCCCAAAAATAATGATTGCAGTTCACTACTGACTGGGCAGTTTTTGTTTTGCGTATAGATCTGATAATATCTGATCTGTTGGTCTGTATCTTTCGTTGCTTGTCAGGGCCTTCTTCACAGCGACTGTCGTAGCTGCTGCGGTCGCAGCTGCTGCGGTCGCAGCTGCTGTCGCAGATTCCATCTCCTGAAGAACCGGTCGGCCACATCTGAACGAACTCCCCAAAACGGCATGAAGATCGACATCAATTGACAGCTCAGCATCTTCCAAGTGGACGGATGACTTCTGTGTTGACAGAACGACAAAGAGCCAGGAAGCACAAAGGGTAAGCCAGGAAAGACCTAGCAAAAAATGATCAGAATTGACCAAGACTAACCAAATGAAGAAAACAAAGGTCTAAAGGATCTCTATAACTTTTTTTTATTTCAATGCACAAAGCCACTGGACGATCACGGTTTTACGCGTAGACTTAGGCTTCATTCAGCTCCTTCGCTGCGGCATCTGGCCGGCTAGTGTGGCGTTCTTCCTGTCACTCAACGCGACAGAAATGAATTCAGTACTTGCTTGGATCTAAGAATTCTCCGGAACCAAGTCTCGCTCCTTCCATGAAGTGTTAAACAGCCTCGGTGTTTCGTGCCGTCGTGGATTTGGGTCTGAGAACCTCCTCTCCACTTGTTTGGGCCCTCAGACTTCCATTCATGTTTCATAAGGCCGAAGGCTTTCAAAAACGTGACCGACCAAGGATCCTGTGCCCCAAAGTGGGCCCCCCTGCCAGTGAAGAACCATCCAGCATGAGTGAACCAACCCCCATCATCCCCCATCCATCAGGGCAACCAACACATACCTCTCGTGGCCTTGGCTGCACTGCTCATCTGCGTTTCCCCGATGGGCCGACTATCATGGCGCTCCTGTCAGCGAAAGAAGACGAAGACACATCTCCTTCTGGAGCGCCCTTTTCCCCACGGCTCGTGTAAGTCCTTCATAACTCCCTCATGTACCGATGAACAAAGGAAGGCGATGATCAGATCCAAATGGGGTTTCTGTCCACTTCGTCATGTGTTTCCCCGGATATACCATGCTCTGGTCACTCACACTTGCTGGTCACTCAGCCGAAACGTACGAGGCTGGAATCATCTTGGGGAGGGGATATCAACCCCAATGAAGTGAGAAGGCTCTGCTTCCAGTTCCTACAAGTGACCAGCTATAACTAGCAAAGCAACCCCAAGCCGAAGCCATACATCCTGCAAATACCATATATTCTCCATAGCAGGTCGAGCACTTGCAATTCTGAGAATGTTTGTGTTTGCAATCTGGCCCTCGAACTGGGCAACACATCTTTGAAGGTTGCCAAACAGCAATGCTTGACTGGTTCTAGTCTTCCAACTGTGCAAAATGTCTGCCTCTTCATCTATAAAAACAAGCCCAAAGGCAGAGATGTTGCAGAGTTGGAAGATCTGTGGCACCAGATCAGTTTGGGCGCTCTTCTGTTGGAGGCCCAGTTCTGAATTATTTCCGTTGACACAATCAGACTCAAAGAATCCATCACTGGAAGGGTCTTCCTCAAAGACATTTGTCCATTCCATGGTTAGAGCCGGATTCGGAAACTAATCGGTCGGATTCTGAAACTAGGGTTCTGAAACTAGGGTTCTGAAACTAGGGTTCTGAAACTTGGATTCTGAAACTGGTATTCTTCCATTATCCAACACGGAAGCATGCCTCGTAAAGCATAGCAGCGGATTGATGATTGTTGCATGTGAGAGATGTTTAAAGCTACTTGGTTGCAGGATATGCTGAATACTTCAGTCTGTTACCTGGCCAGTTTAGTGAATGAACACACCATGTGCATGTTCCATTCCATCCTCAAACGACCCACCCCCAAAAAGGAATAATGGCTTATTGTATGGAAATCAGTGCTGAGATGACAGCCTTCAAACCAGCGAAGTGATCGGAATCCCCTCGCTAGACACCATCAAGAATCAAGGCAAGTGATCGTAATCGGTGGCTTAACCAAGCACAACCTGAACAGAATATATCTCGACTATCTCGAAGGCAAACAGAAGGCAAACAGAATAGGACTTGGCCCAACATGGTCGGACAAAGGTACACGTTGAGGATTCCAGAGATTCTCCCCCAGGCACTCCGGACTGCCATATTGACCTACCTTGGGGGGTGGTTTCAGGGGTGAATGTAAACATGTCGTCCAGTCCCATGGAGTATCTGCTTGATCTCAGATCTGGCACTGGTCACCCGCCAGTCACCCGCCAGTCACCCGCCTCACAAGCCTTCACGCTGGAGGCCAAATTCACCTGCGAGGCGTGACTGACGGGACCGTCGGGCTTTTTGGAACTGAAGAATTCGATGGTGCAGTGTTCCGTCTGGAAATCGGGGGTTTCCAAGAAGAACTGTACCTGAAATTACCTGAAGGTTCCACATTTACTGGAAGAACCTAGCCGAAACAGGTGTCAGTTTCGGAAACGACTGCTGGATGAAGGGGAATGACCTAAGTTGCAAACAAAGTGCCCATCCAAAGTGCCCATCAGATGGACCATCGGATTCAAAGGTCCATCTGTTGAAACAAGCACAGAAAGGACCAAACCCTTCATTACTGCTGTTAGGATAGTTGACCACCTCATGATCCATAAACAGATCTCCAATACATCAATCATATAATACATCTCTTCTATCCATTTTGCCTGACCCCGTCAGCTCAAGTTCATTCAATTTCACCGGAACGTCAATGTCAACCAACATTTCCATCTTGTGCAGGTCCACGTACTTCCTGGGTTGGTCTATCTATTTGCGGGTCGGGAACAGAGGGGTTGATGCCACCATATCACTCCAGATCTTCTCTTGGATATCCCCTCTATATTCATCCAGTGGATTGAGAGTAGATGGCACTGGCACCCCAAGTTAGATGTCTTTCATATAGGGGTCCATATAAACCACCTGACTTGGGGGATTGCGCCATCTACTCTTAACCCAGTATAAACCAACCAACCTCTTGGGCAGGTCAGGAGGGGCCAACCTCGCTCGCTGGGTCCAAACCCGCCGAGTCAGTCAACCTCCGCCGACCTTGGCCGCGATCGCCGCGTTGGGACTCTCCTCGTCGGCCAGACAGCTGACATTCTGGTGACCAGATGGCTTTCAATATGGAAAATGATGAATGTCTACAAGTAGTAGTATAGAAACCAGTGTCGTATAAAGAAGTTGTAGGAATATATTTTCAGACTAGACTAGACATGAAACAAAATAAGCCCCTAGTAGGGGCCCTATGAAAAGTCAGCAAACGCTGCAGTGTGCCGACTGCTGCACAATTCATACCTTTCAAGCGAATCAAGTCCAAAGAAAGCCCGATGCCAACATGGAGTCCTCACCCTGCTTCATCCAAATGAATTATGTAAGTTTTTAATGCTAAAATCGCCTGGACATGAACGACAGTACGGCAGTATGATGTCTCCAAACCTGAAATGGGTGCAAATTACATGGTGTCACGTCAAGTCCACTGTTACTATTCCACGTGAATCCATACTGCCAAGCCTTCAGACTCAACACATTGCCCCATGTCCCATGCCCATATCCCTTCATCAGCCTGTGGAGCAGTGGCTGCTACACTGCTTGGCGTCGTCAACGCCCACGGTGACGCGCCGCTGGCGCCGCGCTGCGGGTCATCCGCCGCGGGCTCCGCCGTTGACACGGCCGAGGCGTCGTCGGCGGCGGCGCCGTAGAGCTGCGGCTCGGGCGCGCTGGCGCCGGGCGCCGCGGGCGCAGACGTGGCTTTGGCGGCGAGGGAGGGGCCGTGGCGAAGGCCTCAGGGCGAGCGCGTGGGGAAAGCCAAGGGAGGGGACGTGGCTGCTGGGTGTTCATAAAACAGGCAAAGAGGTCGATCGACCTGCTTTTTCGAAGCTTTCGATATTAATATGATATAATGCATGTCTTTCCGATCGTCACCCTGAATGCCGTGGGTTCCAATTGGGATCATGAACCAGGACCCTTAAAGGGTGGTTAATGGACACCCCTTGACCCCTTTTCGGGGCTATTCATGGACACCCGGAATCCGTGGTGCTGGAAGAGATTCTTTTTCTGAGATCAAAGCCCTGACTGGGCTGCTCGTCCTTTCAAGAGAACTCTGCCACTGGGCCACTACATGCAGCTCGAAGCAACAAGCATCCATCCTCACCTGCCAGAGCCGACCAGGCAGCAATTCTCACACCAACTGGACGGTGTTTTTAAATCAAATGAGTCAAGCATAGTCAAACTATAAGCATCATGGTGGACATACGGGTGGACATCATGTTGGGTCGTCACTGTGAGTGTTGACACGTACACATCGATCAGTTTAAGTGAATTCTGCTGAATTGGTGTCTTTGCATCATGAAAACTCAATCTGGCAAGCAAGAAGGAGCATGAAGCTCTCCCCAATTGGCCCTGGCGCAGTGTTCCTTCAGGTGCTTCATTCAATTGATCTGTATACGTATGAACGGCCATCCCTTTCAGGCCCTTTCCCGAGACCAAGGCGAGAGAGACGAACCTTGACGCCCCACATTGACCAACCAGGTGAGACCTTCACCAGGCGAGACCCACTTCCATTGAACGAACTCCTCACCTCATTTGTCTCACCTGCTTCCGAGCCCTTCGACCATCTGAGCCCACCACGTACCCATCCCCTCTCGGCCGTCGCCAGCTCCTCAGGTCTACGCACCGAAAAGGTTTGTCAGGTCTGTCCTCTTAACGAACACAAAGGTGGCCGACCTGGGTGCACTGCAAGAACCACGAACATGAACAGATTACACTCGTTTGTGGCAGCGGCGTCCTTTCATGCCTTGAGCCCCGTGGTCTCACGGAAAACACGTGCCGGTGCGTGAGGAAACGGGAGTGGTTTCACACACACACCCGATGGTCCTCACGCTTCCGTTGCACGTACCGCCTTTTGCGGTCGGCCGCTTCCTTTCGAAGCTGTTGGGCCTCGGGAGTGTCTACCAAACTCCACCTACCCTCCTGCATGACCTTGAGCAGGATGCCGTTGTCTCCCCACTTTGTGAGGCCGTCGCTCACCATCTCCTTCCCTGGCATCCACTTCACGTAGTTGCCAGCCCCCTCCTCGATCAAGGCTTCTCGCAGCACAGCAGCATCGATCTGGATCTTGCGATCACTGGTGGTGGCCTCTGAGGAAAGAACATCGTAGCCTGTCTTGGCGTCGATCACCAGGTAGTGAGGCCACCGGCTGGCGAACCACTTCCACCGCTTCAACTCGAAGCCCTGCAGCAAGGCCTCCGCGAGCACCGCGCGGATGAAGTCCCCATGCTCGAAGCTCTCGGCGGCCATGCTGAGCTCCGCGCTCATACTGCACCTTACGATCCTCTGGATCTTCATGCTCTGGGCTTCCAGGATCGCCACCGGAGCCTGCTTCTCGAGGATGTTGGGGTTCGCCACCATGCAGGTCAGCCCTCCTTGTGAATGCCCCTTGGGCTGAGCAGCATATGCAGCGTCGCTCGCCGACACCACACAATCATCTTCTTCAGGTCGCACTCGAGGTTGGGGATCTTCACCATGATCTCCTTCTTGGCCCGGGCCACCAGCTTGGCGGTCCACTCCATCGCTTCTCGCATGCCGGCACCGGCGAGTTGTTGACAGTGAGAGACGCCATAGGACAGGTCGTAGCGTCCCTGCCTCGCCGACCAGTTCACCTGCCCCAGGATGGAGCTGATCTTAAGCCGCTCCTTCTCCGTCAATGGCCCCAGGGCCGCATCGCACTCTGCCTTCTGGATCTCCGGAATCTTTGTGACATACTCCTCCATGGTGTAGTAGAACTCAAAAGTCTCCGGGTCCTGCTTCTCGAATCGGCCACAAAACTTCTGCCATCCGTCAGTGGCCTTTCGATGCTGTCCGAACTTGAGTCGCTCGTGGAGGGCGTCCCATATCTTCTGTGCCGTCTCATCACCCGCGTACCTGGTGTCGTCCACGTGGATGGTCACCATGGCTCGTAGACGACCGTCGGGGTGGAATGCCACAAACATTCCAGGCACCAGCTTCAGCTCATGGAAGTCGATCTGCTTCAGCGTTGCCTTATACTCCAGGTACCAAAGGCGGGGGGACTCGCACAGTCCGAAACCTCCCTTGCGGAGGCGCAAGAGGTCTCCACGGCACCCCACTCCCACCTGCTCCACAATGTGCTTGCAGATGGCCTCCGGGTATCCATGCGGCATCTTGACGTATACCTCTCGCTCTTCAGGAAGCCGCTGCCCCTGCAAGAAGGCTGCTGCCACGTCCTCATATAGTGCACCTCCCACCTCATCTGCACCGCCACCAGGTTCAGGATGTTGTGGCCCAGCACGCTTGCCGTAGGTGCCAGAGTGGGATACTTGCCCGCCTCGGAGTCCCTGTGCCCCCCCCAAGATCCAGCGTGCCTTCAACTCAGCCTCAGTCAGGAGCTCGCCACCCTTGTTAGTCAGCACGAACCGAGAGCTCAGCACCTTCCGGGGGTCCACAATTGCATCCTTGGGTACCCCTTCGATGGCATCATGGTCGAAGTAGACTTGCACGGCCTTGATCAACGGCTTCTCAAAGGCCTTTCTCCAGGTGTCGTTTAGCTGGCGCCATTGATACTCCACTCTCTGCTTGCCGGTCACCAGCTGGGCCTCCATGACCGCCTTCACCTCGCCCTCCGCATAGCTCTCGGCCTTCTCGACGACCTGGACCAGGAAGGTGTTGTCTTCGTCCTCGGCCTCCCAAAACAGCGCCTGCGTCTCAATCTCGGACCATAAGGCCATCCACTCGTCGGGCATAGTCCTCTCCACCGTCAAGGCCTCCCGGATTGGTGGAGCCGATGAACCTCGGGCCGAAGCTGACCCTGTCCCCCCCCGCACGTGATGCTTGTCGGCTCTTCTCTTTCTGCTCCTTTTTCCATTCCTTTCTGACCTTCTTCAGCTGGCCATAGGCGTTCTCGAGCCGATCCCTCACCGCGGCCTCCTGCATTGCGGTTGGGGCCCCCATGTCCTTCGCCAGCTGCTCAAAAAGTTTCTGCTTCTTGTTGAACGGAAGCAAATGTGGCTCTTCCTCTTCCCCGGTTCGTTGAAGGGCCTCCGGAACATCATGGTGGATCTCCCTCTTCTTCTCCCTCTCCGGATCGAGCTTCTTCGCCGGGGGCTTCTCATCCTTTTCGTCCTCCGCGCTCGCGGCCTTCTCGTCCTCGATATAGTCCTGCACCGCCATCTTGCCTCCCTTGAGCTCGTCCTCCACGTCCTTCAAGGCGCCCACGATGAAGTCTGCGCTGAGCATCTCATCCGCGGTGGCCAGGCGAATCTTCTCGAGGGGGTAGGCCTTGACCCGTGACCGAATCCGCACCCAGACTTTCTTTGGGGTAGTTCCGTCCCTCTCCACGCAGACTACTACCGCCGGACCCGACCACGAAACGTTGTCCTGCAGTCTGCGGGCTATAACCCTCGTCGATTTGCAGGTGGGTCGTACACGTAGACGGTGGTGCCCTCCCGGATCAACTCCAAGAAAGGAGGACGAGAGCGAGCTGCAAGGGCCCTCCTCAGTCCCTCATGAGCATCCAGCCAATGACACGCCTCTATCGATGCTGCTCGGATTCGCTCTCCCCTTCTCAAAGCCTCCTCTTGGCTGATGTTCTCGTTGGCCTTGAACTTCACCTTTCCGCTCGTGATCTGGGCCAACAAGGATCCTGGCAATGGCGTGCTCCGGCCAGTGACGGCCTGGATGGGGGCCACTCCGCTTTGTCCCACCAGTCTGTTCTTGGCCGCAAAGCAGGAAGAGAGAGCGCACTGCATATCCTTCAGGTTGTCGATCTGCAGCTCGGTCACCACTTTCATCATCATTACCTTCACGATGGCGCCGTGGCGCTCGGCATGTCCGAGACGCCATTTGGCCTGATCCGGAATCACATCGTGCTGCACCGCGAATAGCTCATTGAGCCGTGCCAGAGATCCTTGGAATTCAGTCCCGCCGTCCGTGATGAGTGTGTCCGGCGGGCCGAACACATCATACCATAGGCGACACAGCACGTCCACCGCCCAGTCCGATGTGGGGTCGAACTCCAGCGCTCCCACGTGGTAGTCGGTGAGCTCATCAATGTAGTGCACCACGGCGTACTTCACGTTCTTAATGTCCCAGATGAAGACCACATCCCCGCTGACTCTTTGATTGAAGTTGCTCGGCTTCAGATAAGACACCTGAGGCCGACTGCCGGGTGGTCGCACCATGTTGCAAACCTGGCACCGGAGATTGCGCGCCCCACAAAGCAACTCCGAACTTCCCCCCCGCTAGGCTGATCATCCGGTGCAAACGCTCATTGGACAGATGCCCCAAAGCCACGTGAAGATGAGCCAATGTGGCACGGAGGCGACGGGGAAGCAGTCGTCCATCTCCTTCAAACATCACGTAGTCATACCTCTCTCCCTCGGCTCCCATCTGCTTCATCTGCCTCTTCAGGACCTCCTCGGGGGTCAGGACTCCCTCCTCAACCTCAATGGGATACGCGGGCCAACCTTCTCGCTCGGGCGACGGGCTTGGATGACCGGGGATAGGATCATCGTCTGGCCGAAGGGGACGTCCAGCTAGGCAGACCTGTGCCGCATGGAGGATGTACTTCGCAAAGTCCCTCGTCCACCTTGCGGCAATCTTGGACCGGTTCTCCAGGCGTCCCTCAACCTTCACCTTTCCCCGGATCTGCTCGTGCTCTGACGGGCTGTGGCTACATCTCGGCACTCCGGCCAACCCAATGGCGAACGCTTTGACGTCCAAGCACGTAGTCTTTCTGTAGAAAAGCCTGGAAACCGGGTCCTTCAGGCCAAAGGTGCATTGATCCACCGTCACCCGGTACATCGGCTCGCGGGTGATCATGTACTCCGTCTCCAAGGCCTCCGAGCCCTCGGGTTGTTCAGTGAGACATAGACGCCCTCGGCTTGGATGTCCCACACTTCACGAGCCATCTTCCAAAATGGTAGATGGTCCTTTCGGATCTCGTCCAAAGCATCCCAGTCCCGGCAGGTCCGTTGCCAGGCACACCACGGCCCACAGGGAGGAGTGATCACCACCAGGTCCGGCTTCATCACCCGCACCATCGACTTTACCTTGTCGCGGTTGGCCTTCTGCGACATGTCCCCCTCCTCATTCAAGATGACGTCCACCGGCTGGTAGGCCCCCCAACCGTCCATCTCGTTGGCGACTAGCGTGAGCATGGAGGAGCCTGAGAAAATCTCCAGCACCATAAACTTCTCCGTCACTTGGGCGCCCCGATTCAAGCGTTCCAGCCGTCGAATCCCTTCTCCCACGCCCTTCTTCATCTTCTGAGTGAGGCCGCGAGCTGGACGTCCCATCGTCCATTTCATTGGGCGCTGGCGCTCCTGGTAGAAGATCTCCCTATCCTCCTCATAGATGCCACTCAGGTCCTCCTCGTCCACATAGAGCTCCTCCTTCGCATAGATCTGATCCCGGACGTCGGTCCCGACACCCTCATAGTCATCCTCTTCATTGCTTGGCGGAGAAAAGCCCTTTTCTTCATGACCCTCCGACTCATAGTCCTTGCCCTCATGCTCCTCAACGACCACATCGTCCCCACTCGAGTTCCAGTCCGGGCTCACATCAATGGGAGGGCCACTGGGGCGTGGAGCCTCTGACGGAGGGCTCCGAAGTGTCCCCACCAGAATGCCACCTCCGTCCCCAGCAAGGCTGCCAGCCACCTCGGATTCTTCTTCCACCTGGCCCCTGGCATAGTTCTCTCCACCGCGTTCTTTGACCCTGATCTGCCAGAAGAGCTTCTTCCACATGTAGACCACCATGCGGCTGCGGAAGCATCCGATCATGTTGAAGGGGACCTCCTCGCTGTAGCTGTGAGACAGTGTCGGATAGTCCGCCAGTTGCCCGGTGAGTGCTTTGGTCTGTTCTCGTTTCTGCCGGGTCTTCTGAGCCCTCGCCCTTGCCTTGGCAATCTTCGCCCTCTCGTGCTCGGTGAGGTCCTCCATGGTGATGTGCTCCTGCTCGTCGTGATCGAGCTGATAGACTTCCGACTTTGCCTTGGCCTTTGGGGCCTTCTTGGGACTGGATTTCTCCACCTGGTAGAAGCTGGCCATCGAAGCATTGCTCGCTGCCCGTCCCTGAGGCTCCCCCCAACTCCTCAGGCTCTGGTTGTCCATCTCCATGGCCTGCCTCAGATGCTCCAGAGACTCGTCTTCGGACTCCAGGTTGGGGCACTGGCGAGAGCGATGACCTTCCTCTCCGCATACTCGACAAAAGTGCACAGGGTGGGCGCTCGACATGAAGTGGGTCACAAGTCTGTCCACCGCGACGACCCGCTGAGCCAAAAATCTCGCCCATCAACGCACTGTTCACGATGTCCAAACGACAGGCCTCTTGGCCTGGCGATAAACGGAAGTCCGACGGGATATCCATCCTGGGTTGATCAGCAAACTCGGCGATGTCCATCACATAGTGACCACTGGTGGTTTGCCTCAACCCATAGTTTTTCACCCCCAACTTCTTGGAGGCCAACACATGATGTTCGCAGTCAAAAAGCACCCCCAACTGCGTGCATGCATGTCGAGAAAGCAACGGGGGGCAATCACCCTTGACCACCGAGAAACCCAGGATCACTGCCTTACCTGCAAAGGTTGCCTCCATCTCAACGCCATACTGGCTGGTCAATGTGTCCCCGCTGCCAAAACGAAAAACCTCCTTCTCCTTGTGGACCTTGAACCATCGACCCTGTTGCTGCCAAGTGTGAAGGAGTTGATTCATCCAGGAGGTACCCGCCACTGACTTGAGACACCCAATGTCCAAAATAACGGCTGTCGCTAACTCCTTCACACACCACAGGACTTCGTGGTCACTCGATCGACCAAACGTACCCACCCCACACGGCAGCGTCATGTATGCTCCAGCGGTCTTCGACTTGGGTGAATCCCCACTGCTACAAAGCGAAACTAAGAGGTCCCACTCATGGTCGCCATCCGCTGCTTCCTCCGGTAAAGACGCCAGTGCCACCGAGGGGGTCGATCTCCTGGTCCTGGTGCTCCTCCGGGTTGATGAGGAATGGGCGGCCAACATCACCGGCTGAGCCTTCGGATGTGGGCACTCTCCTCATCCACGCTCTCATCGCCCGCCTCCCTCTGCTCGTTGAACTCCTCCTCATCGCCCAACTCACTGGCAAGCTCGGCTGCCAGTGCAGGTCGTGCTCCACCTCGTCGACCGGGAGGACCACCGCCAGCTCCACCACGTTGTAGAAGCCACTCGTCACCGTTGGCACCAGCGGTGTTGGGCTCCGATGCTCCGATCGGAAAGCCGTGTTCTCCTTCCAATTCGGCTGCCAATTCCACCAGGGCGTTGGTGATCGACTCCTCCGACTCATCTCCAGCTCGAGCTCGCACCAAGACCTTGTCCCTTCGAGTGAGGCGAGCGTGATCCAACAAGTGGCCCACATAGAACCGCTCGCCCATCTCCAGGGTGGAGTCCAAACCAAGCAACTGGGTGCGGTAAATGCTACCACGTGTGATGTAGCTTTCTAACGACTCTCCTGCATACCTGGTGAGGGCCATCAACTTCTTCCGCTGTTGGTCGATGCGGTGCTTGTCGAGCTGCCTCACCAAGGGACTCTTCTCCAACACCTCGAAGATGCGTTCCTTGCCGCCCACGCGGTTCACGTCACTGTTGTTCAGGTGCTTCACGAGTTGAGCTGCTCGGTCACGTAGCTGCACCATAATTCGTGGGCCTATGAGTTCTTCAGGAATCTGATTTCCCTCACCTCCCAACCAAAACTCCAAGGCCCGCCGCCAGTCCCTGTAGCTCTCACCCGCCTTGGCTCTGAAGATCGGCGGGTAAGAGCTGCTCACCTTCCCCTTTCCTGATGCCGATGACTTCGGCTCATCACCCGGGCCCTTCGGCTCAGGCGCTTCCCCCACAGAGGAGACTTCCCCCGAGGGCAGATTGCCTCATCTATCAAAGCCTGCCGCAGGCGGAGACACTGGTGCCCGTGAGGTAGTCCATGACCCTCCTTCGTGACCTTGTCCCGAATCACCTCCATGACCATGTCGTGAATCGTCACCATGACAATGTCCCGAACCCCCATAACCACGTTGCCATGGTTCTTGTCGTTGACCACCCCAGCTCCAGTTCTCCTGCCACTGGCTGTGGCTCCCTGCATCCGAGCTTCTGCCATCCCACGACCAGTTTTCTGCCCAGTCGTGACCTTGCCAACTTCTCCGCCAAGAAGTCCTCGATGAAGTCCAAGAAGGTTCCTCGACGCCCGGATCCCATTCGCCGCTGCCACCCTCACCCATGTTCTCCTCCGTGAGATTTCCCCAGTCCGACTCCTCGGAGTGCACACTATTGGGCTCCCTCATGTGGACCTCATACGCCGCATAGTATGAGGTCATCGTCGCAACCACCTCCACGAGGCTCAAGCAAGAAAACCCCCGCCGGGAAAAGCGATGCCTCGCCCCACGCCACCGCAGCCCAGCTCAAAGCGACCCCAAAAACCACGGCCCCTGGATCAACCTAGCTCCGCTGCCACTCGTTTGTGGCAGCGGCGTCCTTTCATGCCTTGAGCCCCGTGGTCTCACGGAAAACACGTGCCGGTGCGTGAGGAAACGGGAGTGGTTTCACAATTACCAAGAAACCGACCTGCAAAGAAAACAGCTCGGCACAGTACTATGTGTTTCATGGAGTGCAGAATCAGTTGTCCTCTATTCTTTGCAGCAATCATCACAAATCGGTGTCTGTCGTTCTGTGACTCTTTGCAAAAAGACACCTAGCGGCAAATGATCTGACTCTATGGAGCATGATGAGTCACCACTTCTGATTGTGGAGAACTCTTGGAGCTTCCAAGAGAAGATCACGAGAGTTTGGCTTGGGTTCATCTCCAACCGGTCCAAATAAAATGGCAAAGGTTGAGAAGGAGGTGGCGGCGGCGGCGGAGGAGGAGGAGGAGCAAGGACGCAGAAGAAAATCCTGGTCACAATGAAATTGTATAATGATTCATATATAATGATAATGATGATCATGATAACACATATACAAGTAATGATATACTGTACAATGATCAGCATGATTCCTTACTAGGTCATCACGATCACGATCAGCATATTTGTCGAAAAAATCATGATAACAATGCTGATCTTCGTAAGGTCAGGTCTTTTAAACAAACGCCAACATGTTCGACCAACTCCTGGTGTAAATGAAACCCTCCAATGTGTTTCTTTTTCCAGAAATTGCAACACGTGCTCCCTGTGTGGCTAGGTGAAGCCATCAGCTCCTGAGGAAGAAGATCTGGCCAACCTCGATCTGTCTGTTCATTGGTAAAGTCTCCTGCAAGCTGGATGGAGATTCGTGGAACCGTGCAATAGTCAGAAGAAAAAAAACACACAATAGTGACAGTGCAGGACCTGATGATGGACTATGCCATGACTATGCTGAGTTGTTGCCTTGGGGGTTGTACTTGCGCATACTGTTGCACTGCCATGACCAGGCGCGCTTTGTTTCTCCTCCAAAGACTCGATTGTAGAAAGGCTGATTTCGGGTTTCGTTGTCAGGCACAGAAATGAACGAGACGTTCTTTGCCGAGGGATGATGCTTTCATAGCTCAGAGAACTCTGATTGGTCACAAAGAGATGAAGGCCATGTCCACCAACGTGACGCGACTGTTGTGACGTTCACTGACTGGCCCATGCTAGCTCCATCATCCATCTTCCGATCTCCGAACCTCAAATCACCCACCCTTTGTCTTTCGTTCCAAATCACCTCTTCCTCACCCCCCAACGACTGAGTCGGTCGGTCGAACCGAGACGAGACGGGACGGTGACCGGTTTCGTGCGGTGACAGGGCTCCTTCATCGATCCGGCCAATGCTCACACGGTAATCCTGGGTCGGACCGAAAGCGTCCGTGCCAAATGCCGTGAAGAACACAGCGCGGAAGCGCAGAACGGTGGTGGGGAGACAAGAACAATCCTATACCAGGACCCTCCTGGCGCTGTTTGGAGACCCGACCACAGGTGGTTTCTGGACACCTGTTGTCACCAGGCACCTGTTAGAGGATGCTGGTCTGATCCTGTGTTTGAGAAATTTTGAGAACATTGAGTGGTTTTGGGCGAAACCGCGCCGGCCAGGGCTCCCAAAGCAAAACAAAGGTCGAGGTTGGTTTTGAACCATTTTGAACCGGTTGGCACCAGGTTCTAGTCCTGGGAAAGAGCTACTAATATAGGTAGGTACTACTATAGATATAGGTGATATAGGTATATATATGTAGTGTATACAATTCTGTAGGTTCTAGTCGCCACCATGTGAGTATTCCAAAGGTTCGGACGTCGCCCAGCTCGCGCTTGGAGACGTCGCAGTTCTTGGATTCCCATCGGAGTCAGTCGGATCGTCGGATCCAGCTTCGCAATGGATGCCCTTTTGGGGATGCCTCTTACAGTAAATCCAAATGACCAATGGATTGGTTGATATGAGGAAAAAAAAACTACAGTCCGTACACTCACCATGCTTTTTACCTTCCAAACCTCTGGGTCTCCTGTAGAGTTTCCTTCATGCTGATTCTGGGAGATGATGATTTCCAACCACAAAACACACTTGGGGCCAGGTGTACCTCTTACCAATCTTCAGGAGAAAACGGATGAGAAGTCAGTTTCCGTGATTGATCCACAAGATATGATGCACAAAGGTACAACGGCAAGTGAGCGTCTAAAAGATCAGAAAATCATGAAGGGAATCAAATGGAATCATGACCTGTTCCATCAAAAGAAACTTACAAGCGACTCGCACAGCTTTACACACCAGTCATGTGCACTACCGCACAGGGCATCTGTAGATGATGGCCGCTGTCAAGGTCCTGGAGTTCGGTCGACCAGCGCTTTGTCCAGCGCTCGGTCCCCTCGCGAAACACAAGCCGTGCCGATGTCGCTTCGTCCCCACCCGCAGCACCGCCCGCAGCACCTCCCGGACATCCCGGACGACCCCGGACCGGGATCCAGGTGTGTTTCATCGCCGCGCGGCGATGCAGTTCATCAACGTCACTTGGAACCGCACGGCTTTGGACCTCGGCGCAGGGCTTCGAGAGGGGTCCAGGTGCCTGAAAACCGATGCTTGGGGGCGATTGGAAGCAACTGCATGTTGACCAACGAAGATGGGCGACCAGCAGGGGTTGATTTGGAAGGGAAAGAACCTCATACCTCCTTACTAACCTATACTAATTATAATGAAAGATCCCTTGCACACACAAAGAATCGCAAAGACCTCACAAGGAAGACCAATTTGGTGTTTCTGATATCCCAGGCTGGCTTTAGTGAGCAAGACATTACCTCCTAAGCATCACATGGCACTTTGACACAACTAACATCCGAACCCGGCAAAAAGGAGCATTTTAACACGAACTGGTGTGCCTGCTGGATGCTACGCTACGTGCTACGTGGAGCGTACAGCGTACAGCTGGCGATTCCACACACAGCCTGGGCTGCTCCCTGTCGCAGTTCCGGGCAAAGTGCCATTCTTCCTCTTCAGTGCCAGGCTCCTCCAATGGCTGAGCATGTCATGCATGCATGCACCAAATCAACGAACTTGCAAACACCAAACCCCATCCAAACGTCGCAGACTTGATCTCCGATTCAAGCTGCCCGGGGGTCCAACCAGCTTGGTTCAGTGATCAGGAGATTCAATCAAACATCCTTCAACAGCCGAGGATTCACTTTAACCTAAAAAAGAAGTCATCCCAATTGAATTCCCACACATTCCAATTCTGCTCGCCTTTCAACGAGGACACCACCAAACCCGACCAAACCGGTCGGGAAGTTCCGACCGACGCACGACACCGACGTTTGGGTTCGGTCCTGGGCTTCCACGAAGGCTGCCACCGAGCGGTTCTGAGCAGAGAAGCCTCCGAACAAACGAAGAAAAGGATGCGAGGCTCATGGGCCCTCCCATCATCCATCATCCCACATCTTTTTTGCTTTGGCATGCTTTGGCAATCGTTGGATCTGAAAAAAGGCAGGAAGACTTGGGATGTTTGAGCTTCATGCGGTTCATTCGTGCATGCGAATGCGATTCATGCGGTTCGCAGTGGAACCCCAACAAGGAAATGTATAGTTCCTTTGCCAAACGTAGACCTTCAGTAGATCACGTTATTTCAAGAAATTCACTGACAAGCAAACTGAGAGAACAGCTTGAAAACAGGCCTGACCTTGCCTTTAAAGCGTCCACTCTTCAGAATTCGGTGGGTGGCTGGTTGGGAGGTACAGTATGTTTAATATGAGGAGGTTGGACATCGTAGTGATTTGAATTTGACTTCTCAGGTAGAACATCTCCTACCACCCTTGTGGTTTGTTTGATTCTGTTTGTCACCCAAAGTGGTGGGCATCTGAATCAGTCAACACCACTTAGTGAATGTGCGCTCAAAACCTGACTCCAAACCAGCTATGATTTCTTTCAACATCGACGTGGACTTCAAAACCGCCTGCAAACCCCTGCAAAACCCCAAAGAAAAACACGCACGTCGTGTCGATGCTCAAATCGGCCTTGTGGATAGACCACCAGACGAAAGCTGAAATCCTCCAAGTCCCTTTGCTCCGAGCACACAGACTCGCCCACCTGGTCGCGGACAAGGCACGGGGCCAACCGTGTGGAGGACGCCATATGAAGGAGAACGAAGAGAGAGAGAGAGAGAGCGAGGGAGAGAGAGAGAGGGAGAGAGAGAGAGATGAAGATAGTATACAGAGCAGTTGCCGAAAAGACCGGGACACCTCTGGCTGGAAGCTCCTAGCTCCTACACTTATACCAGGACCTTCAAAGTGACCTCTTTGGAGTCTCTAAGTGACCTCTTTAGGGACTAAGTGACCTCATTCTAGGATCTCAAAAGGTCACTTTGAAGGTCCTGGTATATATAAATTAAATGATGTTCTTTTCTACGTTGTTTGTTTGTCTTCGTGCAGCACAGGTGCTCTTCACCCACCTCACGGGTCGCCGATCATGTGGATGACTTCCAAGTGGGCTGAGTCTAGTCCAGCGGAAGTGAGAGTCGTGTCGATCTCACTTCCAAGGAAAACCACACCAAATCCCTTCAACAACTTCGAAGACCCCCGCTGTGCGCTTTCGCGCGGCCAGGCAACTTCGCAAACTCTCAACTCCCGGACGTCCGACTCCCAGTCCGAAGTCCTCGCCTGGTAAGTGTCCAAAGCATCCGTCATGAGCTCGACCTGGTCAGATCCGCAAGGTACTGACCAGCGGCAAGTCAACGTCCGACTGGGACGACCGTGCCGACCACTGACCACGCGTGCGGTGCGTTTGTAGGACACGGACCGAGCGGTTGTTGGTCCAAGCACTTCTTGAACGCACGAAATGAAGGATTGGTTAAGCAAAGGCCATGCAAAAATGGTGTTTTTGGGATGCTCGAACTGACTCCATGGAACAAATCCACAGTTCTTGTGCAAATGTTTTGGAATGATCATCCCCCACACAGATCACAAACCATGAATTTCCGGCCAAAGAAGACATGATTTCGCGCGAAGCCGGAGTTAGAAAGCCCCCACCTCATTGGCACGTGGTGGTGGGAGGGCCTCCAAGCCAAAGTCGCCCGGTTCGGGGATAGGCATGACATACCTGGGACAAGCCGAGGTTCCGACTGCTCACTGCATGCGAATTCAGGAAGGTCCTCCAAAAAGGAGTTCCTCTCAGGCTCTCCTCTCTTTTTCTGAAAACATGGAAAAAACAGAAACAACCCAATCAAACCATAAACCTGAGTCCCTCTCGCCCAGAACCTGGCGAATTCTTTCTCATCATCCGTCCAGACCCGTCACAGACCCATCTAGCCAAGCGCAAGCAGGCGCAAGCAGGCGCAAGCAGGCGCAAGCAGGCGCTCCTTCCGGTGGTGGAATCCGTCCGAAACACAAAAGGGTGGCCAGTTCCCACCACCTCCCGTACGTCGTTCGAATTGATGCTGCCCTTTGGTGAAAACGTTCCAATGTTCGGTTTTGTGAAAATCACAACTGGTGCCAGGGAGAGCCTGCCTTTCCGGAAGGACTTTGTCTTGAGCTGTCCATGTCTATCCTGCAGGTGTGATCATCTCAAATGAACTGATTCAATCAGAAGGGATCTGTTCTCACATTGGAGTCCTTCAACCCCAGATGAACCCTTCATGTTACACCGTTTTTGGATGGTTCTGCCATGCTCTTGGGCCCCTCATACCTTTTCGGTTTACCCCTCTAGCTCCCAAAGATTCCAACGCGTCCGAAAAAAGGCCCAAAACCATCCAAAACCTTTTCCAAGAGTTCATTGGCTGGCTTCGAAAATGGAATTCACTAAATCCGCACCAAAAAAAGCACCCCCTCAGTCCTATCCCTTTGCGGTCGAGCAACGCCAGGGAAGAGGCGCCGAAGTTCACGAAATCCCCCGCCAGCGCGGAACCACCCGCCTGGATGGGATTCTGATGGTGGACAATGTGATGATGTGATGCTGGTGTTGCATCTTTCAAAAACCTATATAAGTGATGATACAGCCCCATAGCCCATTGAAGGCAGTGTTGGTTCAGAGCATCCTCAAGAGGATCAGAGAAGGATGCGTGTAGAGAAACAATATTGTTCAATGTCGAAGTGGAATTACACCTTGGCGACGAACGAGGCAGTGAACAAGACCCTGTTAAGATCCTGCTAATTAAGCTTGTGGATTAATTAGGAGGAAAGGTATTGATCCTGCATGCGCAGGAAATCTTGTATGATATACTTGACACTTGTTTCTCCAAGGAAATGTTAACTCATCAATCAATGGTTTTTCTCCCTCAGAGCTCCTGAACTGACCCGTGCTCAGCATCCCTATCAACATTTCTGGCGTAAAAACACCACCCTGTTCACGGGCCACAAGATCCCATTTTCCATCCATTCCTTTCCATTTACCGTCACTCAGCTCACTGCAAGGATCTTCTTGAACCACTTCCCTCTATAAACCGCGTGCGGCCCCACCTCCTCGTCCGGCTTTTCACCTCGAAACCCAGACCCAGCTCCACCGGGTTTATGTTGGTCTCACCGGGTTTAGGTCGAGTGGAGCTGGCACCGCTGGTCGCGTCCAAAATCCATCGCAGCTGCGCGGATCCTTTTCCAAAGACCGGGAGAAGGAGCAGGTGAACATGACCATCTGACACAGGGGGGACCGAAAGCCAGCAAGAGAGCGCACCTACCGCAAGACCATACGGTGCAGGGAGACACTTTTGCATCGAGCACGGCTGTGGAGCTGCACCTGGCAATGGCGGTGGGCGGAAAAAGTGAAAGCAGAAGGACGGAGGTGGAAGAGGAAGTGCTCGAGGGGGACTGGCAGTAGAGGTCGCCAGATGGCGTTTGGAGGCGCCCGGTCGCAAATGGAAATTCGAAAGGAAGGGTGGCAAGAAATGCACCACATGCAGTGGAGCGGCCAGCGGAGTGGATCGAGCAAAACTCAAAAATTGGGAACACCACCTCAGTACCTACCTGACGCACGAAGACGGCTCGCAAGAGGCAAGAGGCGGCCACGTTTCACTTGTTTCACTCCAAACAGATGGAGTCCACCCACCGAAGGTGCTTGTGTGGCACCAGAACCTCGAGATCCACACAGCGCGGCGGAACGTCCAGAACAGTTCCAAATAAGCGCCAAAGTAGAATGCTTGGGCAGTTGACAATGTGGCTGTATACAACTTAGTAATGCAAGTGATGATGCAAACTTAGTGTGCATCTTCTGCATCACCAACTATACCTAATCTAGCCTCCGTTGAAATGGTGCCCGGTCCTGCTCACTTCGTTCCCAGAAATATGTTCAGCCTAGCCTGTTGGCTGACTTTCGAAAAAGATTGTTTCAGGCGATTTCCCATCTGCAGGCCTTGGTTTAGGCATTCATGTTCATGTTCGTGCACTGAATAACCCTGTCCAACTCCATGTGGCCTGCTAGATGAAATGGTCCTGGACCGCAAACTCCCAAGAAGCTTAAAATTCCTAACACCACTAGAAATCCTAAAATTTAGCAGGTGCTGGGGACATCAACATGCATCACCAACTTTACCCGCAAAACTACCAGAACTAAAAATAACATCAAAAAAAAACGGAACAAAAAGTAAAGACCTGCAAATCCAGAAAAGTCGTAGAGCAGTGTTTCCAAATGGTGGAATCGAAGGGAACAGTGGATCGGTGGCTTTTTGGGCGACAACGATGGAAACCACGAAAACCATTGAAAGCCGAAATCACGTTTCTCGGAGAGTGCATCTCCAGGCTTTAAATATTGCACACAAATTTATATTCAAATCAATTCAAGACATGTCTTAGAGTCTTACACGCATCTTAACAAGTTCCGCACAAGCCATCAACACTCTGAATGTAAACTCACAGGAAAAACAACATCTCACAGGATAGGAAAACACCCCTGAAGCCAATTGATTCTGTGTGTAAGTTATCCACCATGAAACCCGCATCAATCCGCCAGTTCTTCCTGCATTCCTCGGGGTCTAAACGGAAAACCATCGAGACACTACCTCATGAAAATCCTGACACAACTGTTGGGACTGGAGTAGTTACCTACCATCCTCCTACGGCAGTCATTGGGGGGGTGGCTAATTGACCTGGGAGCTTTTTCGGTGGCAACATCGGCGGCGTCCCATTCGACAGCCGCAAGCGGCCGCTTGAAAACAGAAAAGACACGCGCGATGTGGTCGAGCTGCTCCAAAGTTCGAGTGTCCGTGTGGCATTGAAACCTGGAGGGTCCGATGGTGGGGAAGGAACCATCGTCCAAGTCGTCCAGTCGCAATCTGAGAAACTGCAAACTTGTGCCATACGGTACACTCAAAGGCACCATGTTACATGGAAAGAAAACGCGCACCTCAAACTATGCATGTTGTAATTATATTAATTATTGTGGCAATATGAAAGCATGCCAATGGTTTCTGCTCTGTTGCCTGGCACCCCTTTCCTTGCGCCGTGACGGTCAACCCCTGCTGTTACATGCACATGTACATATTTATATTAGCCATCCCACAACCTTAAAAGTACAAAAGCTCGGAACACAAACTATCGTCACCATCCTTCACCATCCTTCACCATCCTTCCCCAGCCAACAGTTAAAGACAAATACCACAACTCCTATGCCATTGTTCGCCGCCCGGATTCCTCGAATTTGGTATCGAATGAGTCCCAAAGTCTCAACTAGTCCCAACGTCCGATCTATGCGTGGCGCCACTGTCCCAGCCGCATCCAAGTCTGCTTCAACCGAAGGCTAAGACTTGGTGTGTGTGTGTGTGGAAAGGTGTTTTGCAAAAAAACACACATTCAAGTGCCATCAAGTGCCTATTCCCTTCCCTTTCGCCAAGGCATTCCAAGTCACATCGTCCAGACACACAATACTTGATGACCAGCAATGAACCCTTGTGCTCCGCCAGGAGATCCTCAGCTCTTGCTTTGGAGGCGGAGGCTTGTGTGCTTGGAGGTCCTACTCTGTGGGAGGTCTGCAGGATCCATGCGGATCTGATTCTGAAAGATTTGGGCATGGAATGGCATGATCTAGACTCGTGACCAAACCTGTGTGGTGCAGGGGGGTGCAAAACGCCATTGGGAACTAGATGAGCCGTTCTCAAAAGATTAAGAACGACTTCTGTAATATGTGGTTCTTGACTGCTCCACAATGGTTTCGTCAGTGTGCCACGTGGCTTCCGACAAACTTGGAGGATTGACTCTTACAGTACTCAGTCGGTGTTTTGGCGGTCCCTCTTGACGCACAGAAAGTACGATCTTGAGCTGGCAACCGTCGACAGCGCAGCTGTTCAGGAAGAAGTGCCTCTTTTCTGGCCAATCTTTGCAGCCAAGCTCTCTCGGTTAATGCATGCAGCCCTTTCAAGCTGCAGAAGCTGGTTTTAAAGTCTGAGCAAGGTGATGAAACGAGGATGGTTCGCATACTTGGCATGCTTCGCATGCTTGGCATGCTTCACATCTCTTTGAACCCTGCCGACTCCCGATCCAGTTCATGATATATTCAGCTTTCTACACGCGTTCTTGTTCAGTCATGTAAGACGGAATAGACTATAGTTAGTTTCTACTAGTATCCTAGTGTTACTTTCTACACCTTTCCCGTCAATCATCCCCAATCCCCCCAAGTTCGGTCTTCTGATCCACGTCATCCATGTACATTGGTGTTTCACGGTGGGTGGGCTCAGAATCCGCTCATCCTTAGGCTTCGATCCCGAGGCTAGCAGCCAAAGCGGCCCACGCCGCGACACCCGCCACACCCGCGCTGACACGTGCGCTGACACGCGCAGCCGCAGCAGAAGTGGCGTCGCAAAGCCGAAAGGAACCATGGACACTCTCATCAGGACAGGTGGAACAGCTTGCCTGACAACGCGGCAAAGTGCTCATTTGTACCTGGCGGACGAAGGTGGTGCGGCTAAGGTGGTGGAAGGCCACTATAGACAATAGTCATTGGTGGACCACCCTGGCAGCAAATAAGCAACAAGTGGAAACCCCCTGCTTGTAGAGGAAAAGGATCTTCCAAAGGGCAGTTTCCACTCACATGTGTGTTCCAGCGTTCGTGTCTTCGTGGCTGTGATATTGCTTTTTGATGCTTTTTTGGGACCTTTTGGTTCCCGTTTTGGACGACCCGGACCTGGATCTTGGAGACCTCTTCATGCCTCATGCATTGCCACGGTTTGTTTACCGTTTTGGCCGGACGCGAGGACGTACAGGTGGCGTGACACGTGAGGGCGGAGCTGGTGCCGTGCACCTCACACGTCACCACGGAGAACGGCAAGACGTCGAAGGCATCCTCTTTGGCATCCTCCTCCGATGTCACCTCTGCACATAGAGCTGCGCAGTTGCAGACCTGGAGAGCTTGAGAACGGGTGCGAATGTCACCCAAACACTTCTTCAAGGTCCAGGGGAAGGCAACAAGTAAGGATGAGTCAACAAGTTGGCATGAATCTGAATATGCGTGAATCACTGCTCATGAATCATAATCCGTCCACTAATCACCCGAGAAATGAAGAATCACAAGTTGTTGTTGGAGTTCATTCTACAAAATCAAGGTGGAACCTCAGTCTCCCGGTCTCCGACGGTCTCTCTCACCTCTTGGCATTTGGATTTCCTCATCTCCAGCAGGTTCGCATCTTCCACCCTTCTCAGGGCCGCTTCTCTCTGGGAGATCTTCCAATTGATGATCTCTTTGCTCCAAAGGCACAGCTCTTGCAAGTCTGAATCGACCGTGCATCCGCTTCCATACATGCGATTGTAGATCTCCTGCGCAAGGAGACTTCGGAGACGCATGTCTTGTTGAACAAATCTGACCCAACCTGAAGACAGCGACTAGTGAATTCACGGCAGATCTTTTTTTCATGGATCATTGAACTCCAAAGTGAAAGAAAGAAGACACCTAGCTTGCAGTTACGAGAAGCACCAAAATAGTACCCTCCAGAGAAAGAAGAACCAAAAGACTCTCCTGCGTCTCAATGATGCCTCCCATGCAATGTAGGTTCGAACAAATTTCGTTCTCCGTCGAGCTAAGGGTCAGGAACTTTTGGGTATTGGTGTTGGTGTTATCAGTAAGCCAGCCACCGTTGACATGCAAAGGGCACTCAATCTCACCATATTGTCGGCGCGTCCAGCAACTGCGACTGTTGTGGTCAGAGACCGCATTGAAGTCTCCACGTGGAAATGCCAAACAGGTGTCACCTCAGGGAATCATTGAATTTCTGGTGCTCAGAAAAACACACAATTCTGATCAGTGAGTGAAGTTACTAGCTGGGATGATCCTCCGAAAGCGGCTGGTCGTTGAACGAAGCCGTGCACTGGTCTTAATGATTCAGACCACAGCTTTAAGACGTTTTGGTCCAATCAGCAACTCCATGCACTCCTTGAGGAATCCCATTCGGGATCTGGCCATGAGGGCAGTACCTGGGATTTGCTGCTCTCGAAAGCCAGAAACAATAAAAACTTCTTCCCCAGACAGGGGTGATTGACCCATTACGAGGGGTTCATACCCCAGACACTCCATGTGTGCCATAGATGCCGATCAGTTGGTGTGGTTTTGGGGGGTCAATTGATGCGGCAGTCCTATGGCAGTCCCAGACAGGGTCGTCGTGTCGTGTCTGGGTACCTTCCTCACCCATCTTCAATCCGCTCAGCCCAGCCACTCGCATGAGGCTCCTTGAGTCTTCACCCTGCCGGCCGGACAGTTTTGACAATTCGCATCTTTCGGTATCGGACATCCGTCGACCAAATCTGTGCCACATCTGTTGCAGCTCACGCAGGCGGACGCAAGAGGAACCTGGGCACGCTGCCGCGGAACGGAACCGCGGGCTGGCACGCGGCACGCGGCGTGCCGCGTGGCCGGTGAATGGAAACGCGCAGGACTTCACCTAGTTTGTTTCTGTTCGACTTTGGATATCTTTGGAGTCACCTGTTTGTTCATTCGAATAAAGAGAATCCAATTCCTTTGCTACTGTTGTCCAAGAAGAAGCAATTTTGCTTTGTTTGGCCTTCGAGTGTCTGCAGCCAACAACATTCTGTGGGTCGAAATGATGGTATTCCGGTGCACCAGCGATGGAATTCCTCTAATGTGGCCCTCAGATTAAAAACCCCCCCCAGATTTATGTATGTTTTTTTCCCTGCACTGATTTATAAAGGCCCCTAGAATAATGTCTTTTTGTTTGGAGGGGTAGTTGTAGTGCAATTTTTTTAATTGCTATAGTTTACTTTTTCCCTTTTGAGTTTGCTGGGATTTGCTTATCTTACAGGCTTTTGGACTGAGATTTCCATTAAACATTTGGAGATGTCCATTGAGATTTGATGCTTTTGGAGGCTTTTGGATGGAGATTTCTATTTAAAAAATTGAGATTTCCATTGAGATTTGATGCTTTTGGAGGCTTTTGGACTGAGATTTCTATTAAACATTTGGAGATTTCCATTGAGATTTGATGCTTTTGGATGCTTTTGGATGGAGATGTCTATTTTAAAAATTGAGATGTCCATTGAGACTTGATGCTTTTGGAGGCTTTTGGATGGAGATTTCTATTAAACATTTGGAGATGTCCATTGAGATTTGATGCTTTTGGAGGCTTTTGGATGGAGATTTCTATTAAACAATTTGAGATTTCCATTGAGATTTGATGCTTTTGGAGGCTTTTGGATGGAGATTT